AGAACCTAGTTAAAATAAATAAAAAATTATCGGTCAAACATCTTGGGCTCTATTATCCACTGCTTTTATTCTAAACTTTCAGATTATGTCAACTGTGCAGACAACTTTGACATCACCATTTTAAGAAATGTTATAATTTTTAAACATCTATCGGGATGTAAATACAGGTTGGTCAAAAGATCAAATTCCATAAAGCCGAAGGTCTTTATGATGAATTTGATCTTGTACCAACCCGTATTTATAGCCCTATATAGATGTTTTAGATTGATATCAGGAGTTTGCGTACCTATCAATTTTACCGAAATTTTCAGTAAATTAATAAAATTTATAATACCTATAATAATGAGAAAAATTTCTGTAAAACTGATAGGTATACGAACTCCTGTGCTTACATTTATATTTGTGACTTATTCATATTTTACAATTTGCCTGATTATGACTTTTCACGCATGCAATGTTTTTAAACTTTATTTTTTCAAACCAAATGGCATGTATGTAATCCATTGATTGTGTGTTGACTCTTTATGGCGTCACTGAGAAATTACCTCACTTTAAAGTTTGGTCTGAGATATGGAAGCTTAGTACTGATTTATAATAAAAATTCAGAATTATTGCTTCCAGGCTATTTCAGCAAAGATCACCCTTCAAAAGGCTAAGTAAAGCAGCCAATCCAAGCAAAATGATGAGCATGAAAAATATTTGAATTTGTACAATTTATGTCAAACTTAAGGTGTTTCTGTCTTCTTCTTTGCTGTTGATATTTAAGATTAATTAGTGTAGGTACCTGATTTCATTTAATGCTTATAATATACATGTATATTACATGAAAGATATCGATAATCCAAGCGCGTTAAACAACACGCGCGCAATGCTACCACTTTTGAGGTCTGAATCTCCCTCTTTTTCATCACAATAGGTTAACATGTATGAAAGAATGCAAAATATAAATGGAGCCGAGTGTTTAGTTCAGGCAATGAAGGGCAAAAGAAGAATGCAATTAAATAAATAGAAGAAGAGCAAACAGAAGAGGGGCTATGTTGATGAATGATATGCAGTTTTGAAAACATTTGTTTAGTATGTGAAGGCTAGCTATTGAACTAAATGCTATATATTATTTCTTCGCAGGATATAAAACTTGTAGACATTCCAGATTCAAAATTAGCAAAAGATCTTGATGCTTTTGCCAAAAGGCATAATACTGAAGTAAGTATATCTTGAACTGTATATTTTCACTGTAATCACATTACATTTTGATTTTTTGTTGAGTGTAAATTTATTCTGATTTTTGTTACAGCCCTGTATAAACTTAGAAATGATGTTCCCTGCTGACTATCCAATGTCTCCACCCTTTGTTCGAGTCACAACACCAAGATTCAAGTTCCTCACAGGTAACTTCACACACGGCTAAGTGGAGGGAACCTCATCATTATATTTATCACATTCTCACAATGTGGTGTTGACTACTTGATTACTTTAAAACTAAGATGAATATTTCACATTTTATGATAATGTTTGTTATATTGTTTAAAGGTCATGTGACTATTGGAGGCTCAATATGCATGGAAATGTTAACAAAATCAGGATGGACACCAACAAATGATATAGAAGTAAGTGTCCAATATAAATAAATAAATCTGTGTTAATAACCCTGATACAGCAAGTTCTTTCTATATTAAACGTTTTAGAGACCTCTAATCTTAGAAATTCATGATACTGTATACAGCGTTATTTTTACCCCGTTTAATTTTCGCCCTTTCACACTTGCAAACAATTTTGCCCCGTTTTAAATTCGCCCATTCATAGTTTTATTTTTAAAAAATATACTGTATTATTTCATTTCGCCCTGTTTTAAATTCGCCCAAATGAGGGTAGGGCGAAAGGGGCGAAAATAAAACGGGTGCGAAAATTTCCCTGTATACAGTAGTAGATAAACTTTTTGTCCTCTAAAAATAATATATACTGTATACAGGGAAATTTTTGCCCCTTTCGCCCTACCCTCATTTGGGTGAATTTAAAATGGGTGAATTCAAAGAATACAGCATAATTTCTTAAATAAAACTGTGAGTGGGCGAATTTAAAACGGGGCAAAAATTGTTTGTATGTGTGAAAGTTTGAAAATTACATGGGGCAAAAATAACCCTGTATACAGTATAAATTTACATTACACTTTTTTCCATGAAGCATTGAGCTATATTTTCTATTCTTAGAATATACTAGTGCAGATTCGATGTGAGATTCTCAGTGATCCTAATGCTCAGCTGGACTTAAATAATGCAAACACAGCGTACACAATGTCGGAAGCCAAATCTGCATTTACTCGAATGGTACAGAGATATGGCTGGGACAAATCGAAATGATTGTTATGTAGAAGAACTGGGGACATATCGAAATAATTGTTACATACAAGACGTTGTCATATATTACATTCAGTCGCCCATCATTTGACTTTTGCATGAATACATTATAAAGTTTATGTTACTATCATTTTTATTGAAGTATAAAAGATTTTCATAAGTTCTCAGTTCATCATGAAACTAAAAGTAGTTGACTATTTTTGAAATTATTTGTACATATCTTTCTTAATCTTGTTTACATTCTTTAGAAGTATCTCTTCACTCATTTAAAATGTGACTGTTTTATTTATCTGTTCTCGTCTATTCTTTTTTATGTCATTCCTTTAATTTTGTATCATTAGATTGATAATGTGGTGTTATGTTTTATAATCCACAATATTTTGAATAATTTTTGTCAAAAGGAATGATTAGAATTATGTGAGTATCATAGTGGAGAATATTTTGTAATAAGATTCATTTTCAGTTTTGAATGAAATTAAACAATTGAAAAAAAAAATTGAAAAATTTACAGTTTGGTTTTGTAGTTTTTTTTATTGAATCAATTGGTAAAAAGCATAAAAAAGATATTAAAAAAATACCTAGATATGATTTCTGCATGGTTTCTTTCATGTTTTCATCTATCAACTCATTCCTAATTTGAGAAATTGTCGATTTAAATCGAGTTTGAAGCCATTGAAATGAGGACAGAGTATATATATGCGAGCTATAACTAGTGATATCTGACTATATAACTTTTGTTCTGATTAGCTGATCTATAGGATCTGAAAAGGACTGGTAGTTTTGTATCAATCTCTTAATCTTAACAAAGGCGAAAGATGATATCAGATGTAAAATACAAGTATAAGAATTAAAGACTAGGAAAAAATCATGTGTTTTTGATAAGCAACACCATCCATTCGTCAAGTGCCTGTGCTAAAGAGAGCCAATAATGATAAAAAAAACATTCTTCATCATTACTACTTTGGGAATCAAGCATCATGATGCTATAAGCCATTTGTAAAATTGTGCTTTTGATTCGGCTCCCAAAGTATACTTCGTACATTAAATACTAAAAATGCATTCTATCTTTAACGAATTAGCATTCATCAGCATCTACATGTAGGAAACAAACTTATAGGCGTCAGAACTGGGGCAGGCTAGGGGGTTGCTCTCCCCTGCGTTTCATTTGCAAAGATAGACACAATAATTTTTAACATTGGGTCGTAGGTTTAGCCCCCCCCTTTCAACAGGTACAGGTTTCAGTGTTATCAAAGAAGGGTTAGCCGTAGGATGTGAGAAAAATCTGGTACTGAACGAAGTTCGATTCTCCCCCCCCCCCCCTTTTTCAGTGTCATTTTTTTTCAGGATTGAAAATTTTTTCTTTCAATTAGCCCCCCTTTCAATTTGCTTCTGGTCGCCCGCGTGGCGCAGTGGTTAGAGTGTCTTCTATAGATTCATGAAATAAGGAGGTGATCCTTACGTCGCGGGTTCGAATCCCACTGTGAGACGTGGAAACCGGTCCTTCGGATGAGACCGTTTAAACCGAGGTCCCGTGTCGCAGTAAGTGCTGGCACGAAAAAGATCCCTACTCTCATTGACCCTAAGTGCCGAATATAGGGCAAAATTTGCAGCTCTTCAACGGCAAGTAGTGGTGTCTCAATATGAGTGAAAAATTCTTGAGAGGGACGTTAAACAATATACAATTAATCAATCAATTTGCTTCCGATGCCAATGAAACGTAATGCTATGCGATAATGAACAAGTCCAGGCTCTTAATTGGTAGTTATATACCGTTATGTCCTTCATGAAAGAAAATTCATATTGAATTTCATAACGTGGACAACATCTATTTGTGATAACAAATGATATAATTTGATCAATCAAAATGGTTATTAGATACGTTCGATTCTGCATGTCTTAATGGTTCAAAACAACAAAAGTATTCCACAGAATAGCATGTATAAATCTGCACAATATACCGAATGCCAAAACCAGAATACTACTAAATAATATAATTATATTCTTTACATATGAATCACAATATTTCTGACCCCTTGAAAATAATATAAAAAATCTTGCAAGTAGGTTATCAGCATTGGCTCGGGCTAATTCGAAAGTGAAATTTGGAGTTTGGCGGTAAATTGTAGTGAATGAATAAAATTTAGTAGTGAAAGATATTGGAACCTATTTTACTTGTCAGATTTCTTCGAGCTAGTTGATTTTTATTCTAACTATTCTATCCCCCCACCCACTTAAAAAAAAAAAACGATGCTACCTACCTGAATTAATTTTTCTTAATGGTGTTCATCGAAATGTTTGGTTGTGCCCATATACTGGAATAGTTTTTAGAGGCCTGGAATTCCTTGACCAATTTTATTTTATTAGCCCAACTATATTTCTAAGAAGGCAAGATGTATGGAATGTAAGTTTCATCTACATATGTTATGTGGTTCATATTAAAAAACCAAAAGGGATAATTGACGATATCCCATTCAGGGTGTAAACATAGCGGTTTAAATTACTTTCCATACATTGTATTTGACATCCGAAAATGTCCACTAGCAGTACAGCACGGGGAAACTCTAAACAAACGGACCTGTACAATGGAGTGGGGAAAACTTTAATTTTCACCATTGTTAATCATTTGTATGCAAATATGAGCATGGGATTAGTAGATAATAATGTACATAATGCATCATGTCTTTCTGAGAGCTATTTAAAAAACTAGCCTTTTTGAAAAACACATGTAGTATTTTATTTAGTAACCCATAAATTCATTAAATGCAACTCATTGAGCTGATTGGTCTATTTGTGTCCCTCACTGAACAGACGTCACAAAAATATTTTCCTCGACCTGATGATTCTCGCGATGCTTTTCCCGCGCACATGCGCAGATCCAGGATAAACGTCAGTCCTTTATAAATATGCATGAAAATATCGTGTTCTTTTCCTGACCAGTACTTTGTTAATACCGAATAAAATTTCGTCGAATTTGCAAGAATGCTTCATTTTTGGTAGCTTATCATACTCCAGAAATTTTTGTTCGGTTTCAGCTGTGCAAAAATACTGTTTAACACGGCATACATATCTTTAATACCGAATAAAATTTCGTCGAATTTGCAAGAATGCTTCATTTTTGGTAGCTTATCATACTCCAGAAATTTTTGTTCGGTTTCAGCTGTGCAAAAATACTGTTTAACACGGCATACATATCTTTAAACAAGGAAGTTTTATAGCATGGCATTTAGCGTTTGTGTAAAAATACCTTTGTATCACCGTTATCGTTGATCTTAAGAAGACGTACGAAAAGGGTAAATAAAAATCGAGGAAGAAATTGAGGAAGAAATAGACATGGGAACCAATTGTCTTAGAGATGTTGAAGTGTAAATAGTAAAGGGACAGGAAAATTTGTATTTCATCCCCAAATTAAATTTCATTCTGATAAGATGAACGATGTAAATAGTGACGTCTATGTATTCAAACTACTCAAAATGTGTTCTTAACCAACATTTTCTATAATAGGCGTTTAGATTCCTGTCCGTAAAATTGAAAATCGAGACAAATAAAAGAAATAAAGGTAAGACAAGATTTTCAAGTTACTTGGCAATTTATTGAAGAATGTTTGAAAGTATTTACAATTCTAATGTAACAGGGGTTGTAGATGAATAATAACACCTGCGGGTTCGTTTATATATTGGTTTATTATGGAGTCATCTAATACAAGCAAATCACAGCCCTGAAAATATAATACATATTTAATCAGGATATATCAATAGTATTTCACATAATAAGAAATCATAAAACATCAATACACGTACATAGCATTAGAGGAATTCACAAGTTATTCCCCTTGAATCAGACTTTTATAAAATACCATGAAATACATGTAAAGCTGATATTAAACATTCATATAGAAAATATTCTTTATGTTGACAGCATAATAAATAGAAATTATTATCAAATTTCACATTTACAATTCTCAGAGTAAAATAATAAACCTGTATTGCAAAAATATAGAAATTATAATTAGTACCTATTTGTGGAATAAAGCTGACTCCTAGCTTCTTTAAATAAGTTGCAGCAGAGTATATCAGTATAAGCAATAAATAAATAATTCTGGACTCTGCAAAATAAATTTTATCTCTCACTCCAAAAATCTCTCATGCAGTTTATTAATTTCAGAAATCAGAAATTATGAATATGAAAGTATTTGATTTTAAGTTATGTATTTTAAAAAGTAAATTATATGATTACTTACAGTTTCTTTGAAACAGTCAGTCAAATTTCTTTAGATTTATAAGAATAATTTACAATAGCATGTAAACTCATGCATGGTCAAACTGAGAAGTGTCTTTGTCTGTTGTCCAGAATTTGGAGGTAAAAGACTTGACCAATAGGATTTAAGAAAATTGAATTCTACTCAGGTAGCTTTTTACAGGTGTAGAAATAGAAAAGGAGTGGATCTGAAGTTTTAGCTGATTGTTTATTTTATTTCATTTGTTTTGTTTAATTTAATTTTTAGCTCACCTGAGCCGAAGGCTCAAGTGAGCTTTTCTGATCAAAATTTGTCCGTTGTCTGTCGTCGTCGTTGTCGTTGTCGTTGTTGTTGTTAACTTTTCACATTTTCATCTTCTTCTCAAGAACCACTGGGCCAATTTCAACCAAACTTGGCACAAAGTATCCTTGGGTAAAGGGGATTCAAGTTTGTTCAAATGAAGGGCCACGCCCTTTTCCAAGGGGAGATAATCATGAATTTGTTAAGAATTAATGGCATTTTTAAAAAATCTTCTTCTCCAGAACCGCTGGGCCAGGAAAGATGAAACTCATGTGGAAGCATCCTCAGGTAGTGTAGATTCAAGTTTGTTCAAATCATGACCCCCGGGGCAAGGGTGGGGCCAAAATGGCCGACCCAAGTTTTACATAGGAATATATAGGAAAAATCTTTAAAAATCTTCTTCTCCAGAACCACTGGGCTAGGAAAGATGAAACTCATGTGGAATCATCCTCAGGTAGTGTAGATTCAAGTTTATTCAAATCATGACCCCCAGGGCAAGGGTGGGGCCAAAATGGCCGACCCAAGTTTTACATAGGAATATATAGGAAAAATCTTTAAAAATCTTCTTCTCCAGAACCACTGGGCCAGGAAAGATGAAACTCATGTGGAATCATCCTCAGGTAGTGTAGATTCAAGTTTGTTCAAATCATGACCCCAGGGGCAAGGATGGGGCCAAAATGGCCGACCCAAGTTTTACATTGGAATATATAGGAAAAATCTTTACAAATCTTCTTCTCCAGAACCACTGGGCCAGAAGAGATGAAACTCATGTGGAATCATCCTTAGGTAGTGTAGATTCAAGTTTGTTCAAATCATGACCCCCGGGCAAGGATGGGGCCAAAATGGCCGACCCAAGTTTTACATAGGAATATATAGGAAATATCTTTAAAAATCCTTCTGAAGATCCACTGGGATAGGAAAGATGAAACTCATGTGGAATCATCCTCAGGTAGTGTAGATTCAAGTTTGTTCAAATCATGACCACCGGGGCAAGGATGGGGCCAAAATGGCCGACCCAAGTTTTACATAGGAATATATAGGAAATATCTTTAAAAATCCTTCTCAATTACCACTGGGCCAGGAAAGATGAAACTGATCGGGAAGCCATTGTTACGATGTAAAATACAACATTTTTTGAACTTATTTTAAATTACTGTGTAAATTAACTTTTCGGACCTTGTATAAATTGTTGTCAAAACTTTTCATATATTTCGGCAAATGTGATAAATTATATAAATTCCGCACAGCCTTAATCCCACCTGAGGCATAGTCAGAGATTGGACAGCTAATTCCTTAATTGACATTGACACTTATTCTTTCACAACTGCTAAAATGTCACCATTCGCTCAATAATTGTTTGATACTTGATTTCTATATACCTTTTGTTAATCCTTTTATTTTACAGTATGTTTGATTTGTTGTTGAAAATATATAGTTGGAATCAGACCTTCGGTGCTGAAGTCATTTTATTCCATTTTCATATAAAAGTACAATATTTGTAACAGGTTTTAAGAGAAGCTGGGTTCAACAATAAGAGGAAAGCTCACGGTTGAACCAGAATTAGTATTGACGAACTAAACGTTTCCGTAAAACCATCCTCAGGTAGTGTAGACTCAAGTTTTTTCAAATCATGACCCCCGGCCCTGGGGATAGGGTGGGACCAAAATGGTCGACCCAAGTTTTACATAGGGATATATAGGGAAACCTTTTGAAATCTTCTTTTCAAGTACTTCAAAGCTATGATTAGTGATACCCGGGGTATTTATATGGAATCATCCTCAGGTAGTGTAGATTCCAGTTTGTTCAAATGATGAACGCCTGGAAAGGGGGGGGGGGTGTAAATTCAAGCCCGATGTGCTCAGGTGAGCGCTGTGGCCCCTGGGCCTCTTGTTGAAAAGTGTTTTGTTTGCTAAATTATTTAAATGAAAGATTTCAATATTTGAGTTTAAATTATTTGTTTTGTCAATATTAATTGACACACATTTTTAATGCACTTTAGAGTTTAAAATCAGTTGTGGCATATTCATAATGTATAAGTAATAAATTATACATTTGAATATTATAATAATTAAAACATAAAACTAATCACTATTACACTAAGATATAAGAAAAAAACAAGATGTGTTTGTGAAACACTGATGCCCCCCTAAGGTCAAAGGGTCAAAGTTGTTGGTTTTAAAAAAAGGTCTTGTCACAAGGATTACATATTTGAAGTTTGAAAGCCTTGGTCCTTACCATTCAAAGGTTATGACCAATGTTAAATAGGGATGGGCAAAACATCGATATTTCAATATATTGCAAAACAATGACAAAAATATTGTATTGCAATACGATTTTTATTTATCGATATACTGGCAATATGCTTAGATTAAGGAATTTTATAATTATAATTCTAAAAATGGATTAATGAAAGGTTTGCTATTAAAATAAACATAAGACAGAAGTTGTTTTGTTGAAGTATTTCTGAACATAACTTAAATGAAATCAACAAGACTTTTTTCCCTGTTAGTTACTTATCATAGTTATGTACATTCTGTATGTAAATTAAAGTAAATATAGTAAGAAAACGCCATTTTAACTACATTAAAAATATTGCAATACATATTGCAATACAGTTAAAAATATCGCAATATATCGTAATACGAAATCTCTGGCCAATACCCAGCTCTAATGTTAAAGTTTTTAAAAGTAGGCCAAACTCCAGGGTCAAGGCCAAAGGGTCAAAGTTCATGATATCAAATGAAAGTCACAAGGATGAAATATGCGAAGTATGAAAGCTCTAGCAATAATTCTTCAGAAATTATGGTCAAGGTTTGTTTCTAAAAGTAGATAAGTACGGAAATCTCCAATGTCAGCTCAACATGTCAAAGACGTTGGTTTCCAATGAAGGGTCTTGCCACAATATATATATATGAAATATGAGAATTCTAGTATCTACCGTTTAAAAGATATGGCCAAAGTAAAAGTTTGAATTTTTTGTGTAAAAATGGGTCAAACTCCAAGGTAAAGGTCAAAGGGTCAAAGTTCCTGATATCAGATGAAAGGCCTTTTCATAAGAATTAAATTCGTGAAGTATGAAAACTCTAGTCCTAGTCTTTCAAAAATTATGGTCAAGGTTGTTTTTTAAAAGTAATTCAAACTCCAAGGTCAAACAGTCAAAGTTCTTGGTATCCAATGAAAGATCTTCTCACATGAATTACATATATGAAGTATGAAAGCCCTAGCTTTAACCGTTCAAAAGTTATGGCCAAGATTAAAGTTTTTTCATAAGTAAGGAAATCTCCAAGGTCAAGGTCAAAAGGTTAAAATTGTTGGTATCGATGAAAGGTCTTGCAACAAATTATACATATGTGATGTATGAAAGTGCCTCTGAAATTAAGATAAGTTTCTACCGTTGAAAAGTTTTGGCCAAAGTAAGAGTTTGAAGTTTTTGTTTTAAAATGGGTCAAACTCCAAGGTCAGGGTCAAAAGGTCAAATTTGATGGTACCCAAGAAAGGTCTTGTCACAAGGAATACATTTGTGACATATGCAAGTCATAGCTCCACTAAATCAAAAGTTATGGGCAAGTATGGCACGCCAAACTCACAAAAATGAGCTAAACCTAGTTTCACAATTGATAAACTAGGTTAATCGACTGTAAACTATAGTTTACAATCTGTAAAACTATATTTAACGGTTGTTAACTATAGTTTACGAATGCTAATCTAAGTTTATCTGTCTGTAATAAGCGTTAACAATAGATTTTGTTGATAAACATAGATTTACGTTTGTAAACTATAGTTTACGATCGTAAACTTTAGTTAAGAGTTGTTAATCATAGTTCCACAAATCGTGAAACTATGTTTATCAGATCGTTAACTATAGTTAACGGTTTGTAAACTATAGTTTACAAATCGTGAAACTGTATTTATCAGATAATCTATGTTTTGCAATCGCAAATGATTGTTTTCGGTGTTAAGTATAGTTTACGGTTGTGAAACATAGATTATCGCGTTAACTATGGTTTACAGATGTAAAATATAGATTAACGTTGTTAGCTATAGTTTACAGTCCGTAAACTATATTTTACAACCAATAAACCTAGTTTATCGATTGTGAAACTATGATTAGCTCATTTTTGTGAATTTGGTGTGCCATAGGCAAGGTTAAAGTTTTTGCGCATAAACAAACAGACAAGCAGATAGATAGAACAGACAGACGGACGGACACTACAAAAACTATATATCCCCGAATCTTCGATTAGGAGGCATAAAAAACCACTCTGATCTTTATATCCAATTTTACAATTACATGTTTCTTGATATCACAGTCAATCTTGTTTTTTGAATCATTCTTGATGTTGTAGGAAATCTGCCTTTAAAATCTTACCTTCACTTCTACATGTACTAATTAACAAATTACTAATATTCCTTAGTGATTATTCATAAACCATTAAGCATTTTCTGATTATCAATAATTAATTTCCCATTACTTTGAGGAGATTAGATCCTGTTATCGAAAGTTTTAGAACCAGCATAAAAGTATTTTACTGCTCAAAATTACTCTGTGTGCAGGCTGCAGGTAAAAATAGTAATCCAAACTTAACAATACTGAATACTTCGAAAGAGAAGAAATGATCTTTTTCTTCTAAAAATAAATCTTTCGCCAGGAAATGTAGTTCTCATAATTTCCAATTCATCGTTGGGTCGAGTGTTATCCAACATATTTCACAAAAATTGTTAAGCCATAAATTAATACCGAATTATATAAGGATGAATCTATTTCACTCATTATGACAAGGGGCACTTGGTGGGTTTGAACGGTCGATAGAGGATGCTTACTTCCTCATGGCACCTAAACTCTTGTTTGTTTCTAGAGGTCCTTGTTTGCTCTGTTCACAAGTTGATTTCAGTTTCACTTGTGTATCATTTGATCAGGATCATTATATCATGAGGAAGAATATGGAGATAACGAACAGTATTCAATATCAAAGTCCATAAAACAATACAAAATAGGAGCAGAGCAAACACGGACCTCCGAAACATCGGAGGTGGGATCAGGTGCCATGGAGGAGTGAGCATCCCCTGCTGACCGGTCATAATCGCCGTGTGCTTCTTGTCATGATCCTGAAATAACGGGAAAATGCGTCGTCAATTCAGTGTATAAATAATGGACTAACAATTAGAATGAAAAACATCAGTCATTTGACTGAATGATAAATTGTATTTGCTGATAATGTCATTGTATCGACCATAGAACTTACGAAATGATGACTTTAAACGAGATTGCTGATATTCTTGTTTCATCAACTTGCTTGTCAATAATTTACCTCGTTTCAGAAATTGTTCATATGTAGAGCATGCCGTTGCGTATCGAATCAACTGAGACATATACGCACCGTATGCAGGTGATGAAGGTATATATATTGCTGCATAAGTAAGGGAAGTTGACGATAGAAAAGTTAAAGTCGTCACGTTTATCATATAGTTTGGTTGACGTCTTTTTCGAGTAAAATATCCAAGTATGAAACAGATGTGTCAGACTCTGTGGTATCTTTTATCTCAAGCTTCTGTAATCTGTAATAAGACAATTATCACTGTTCTTTGGTAAATACGTTGGGTGAGTGAATATTCGCATCAACATCATGGTTTGCCAAATAAAATTTTACTCTAAAACTCCTTTTGTTTTTTCAGAGCTGCTCGAGAAATGAAAAATATGACGTCTGGCTACATAATGATAGCTATCATCTTTTGGATATCAAGCCAACTGGTTGAATCTTTCATTTTAAATCGATTTACCAAGCCTACCTGCAATATTACCTCTGAGAAAGCCGATTGCTCGAATAGAAGTTTGGTGAATATATCATCTCTCAACTTAGCACATGATATTAAAATCTTAGACTTGTCAGAGAACAACTTTACCAATGTAACCGATACATTCTTTAAACCTATTTCGGAGTTAAACATTACAGAACTCTTCCTTAAAAGATGTCACATTCAGTATATATCTCCAAAAGCATTTGCTCTTATCCCGAACATAAGCAGAATAGATCTATCTTTCAACAATCTTAGTCTAAATGCCATGAAGGAAGGTTTGAAAGGTTTAAATGGCTCCAGTATAGAGCATCTGGACATTTCGAATATCATTACAAGTAAAGAGCCTCAAACCCTACCGGAAGATACTCTCTTAAGTCTACACAACACAAACATAACGAATCTAAGGATGAGAAGCTGGAATATAAATAAGGTGATAAAGAATACTTTTCAAAATCTATCATGTCTACAAGCATTAGATCTAAGTGTGAATAAAATACATGCTTTAGAAATGGAGGGCCTCCCAGAAATTAGACAATTAAATCTGACTTGGAACAAGATGACTTCCTTACCGAAAATGTGTGATAGTCAAAACGTATCACTGGTACCAAAGTTGAATAACCTGTCTCTTGCAATAAATCATCTTCTTGATTCACAAGAATTCCAAAAACAAGGGCATTGTTTACCGAACTTGTACTATCTTAATGTATCATTTAATTTGATGGATAGAATTAAATCAGATTCATTTTCAACCCTCAAAAAATTAGGAATATTAAGCATTGGAAACATGTTAACGTATGATTTAGTTATAGAAGAGGGTGCACTCAATTCCAAAACATTGGAAATGCTGTATCTTGGAAGTTACAAAAGAGTGTCAAAGGATACATTCAATCCAAAAACACTCTTTAAGAAATGCACACAGTTAACAAGACTAGAAATGTCGAAGTTTGATTTCTCCGATTTATCCATTGTCAACTTTCATGTAATGATATCACCTCTAAAAAATCTCTCAGAGCTTATTTTACGTCACAACAAACTGAATAATGTTCCGGAAACATCAAATTTTCCTAATCTTAGCTTTTTGGATTTAGAGGGAAGCACTATTCGGCATGTGCACAGAGATTCTTTTCAGAACAATTCACACCTTGAAAAAATAATCTTACGATTAAATCACCTCACAACAATTCGACAGGATACTTTTACAGATGAAATATGGAAGAATCCAAAGCTCTTCATTGACATTTCTTATAACCCCTATGCTTGTGACTGTGACCTTGAATGGTTTATCAAATGGGCATACAAGAGAGGGATAATAGTAGAAAATGATGATTATCAATGCGATTCTCCCAAGAAATGGAAGACAACTAGACTTGATATCCACATCCAAAGTCTGAAGACTAGTTGCCATCCAGTGAATAAAGTTTTCATCACACTTTTAACTATTTTTTCCTTCATGTTTATATTTCTTTTTGGTTTAATGCTTGCATGGAAGTTAAGATGGGACAATAAGTATTACTTGCACAAATGGACAGATGGAAGACGAAGCGCATATCAAAAAATTATTGATAATGAGTTAAAAGAGTACGATGGATTTGTGGCATACAACACACGTGACCGGAAATGGATTATGTCGGAACTTGTCGAAGCCATGGAGAAAAAAGAACATTACAAACTTTGTCTTCATGAAAGAAATTTTTTACCAAGTTGTGCTCACGTTGATAACATACTAGAGAGTATTGAAGCCAGTAGAAAATTCATTTTGGTACTTTCGAACAACTTTATGGAGGATCAGTGGTGCAATTACGAAACTATCATTGCTAATCATAAGTTAGCTGATGGAAATGGGGACAGAGTTTTTCTTATTTTGTTGGGGAAAATCAGTTCTAAACATTTTACAATTGCGCTGAAAACTTTATTAAAATCTGTAGAAAATGCAGAATGGACACTTAATGTAAAAGGGAGGAAATTATTTTGGAACAAGCTAAAAAGATTCATGAAATAAATAAAAAAAAAAAAATAAGAAAAAAGTCAAATTATAAGAGGATTTACTTTTGGATTTTATTTAGTAAAATTTCGTTTCTGCGTCAAATAAATATTATTTCTTTTTATTCTGTGGTGTATTTGTGTGTCAAATAGTGTGCCAGGTAATAGTTAAAGCATTGAGAATTATGTCATTATTTGTCAATGGGTATAGATGGTTTCAAGTTACAGGTTCGCAAACAAATAATTGATATCTGGGTAAGGAGGAAACAAGTGCACCTTTTCAACACTGTCGACTTGCCAGGTAGACTTAGAATTTTAAAACGAAAGTGGCTTAATTTATCTGCAATATATCTGGCGGATTACAAGTCTAAAAAATGTATCCCGGGTAACTACAAAATATGTAATTATCTGCATATTTAACCTTATTCCGGCGAAAGAAGGTCGGACGGAAGAAATTTATATGCGTAAATTGCAGTTCCAAAACATAGGTAAGATGATACACATAAGCGTATTATCTATAAAGTTTCAAATTGATGATGGTGTTAAGATAATCATATAAAAGAGAAAATAATCACAAATAGTACAGTTGTAGTATGCAGTTTAACTTTTTCAAACATACAGGTTATTGAATGCACTGTTCATATCCCACAATAAGCCGTTCATTACCACTACGTCTTCCAAACAAATGCATTTTCTGACCCTGGATGATAGTAGAGCCCTCTCTCGTTTAATTGTAAAATAAAACAACAACAACAACAAAAACAACTTACATAAACTATTTCCTGAAATGCGACGTAGTCTAAAATACATTTTTAGCAGCAATGGCAAAGGTTAGGGGATTGAAAAATCATAACTTGTTAGAAAAAAAAATACACAAACGTAGAGCATATGATACATATACATTTTCAATAACAGCATAAAAACTTGTTGGACGACCAAATGGAATAATGTCTTAGGAGTGAAAAGATTCTTTGTCATTCTTTGATTGAAAGTAAACTATGATTTATAAGGTATGTTCTGGCTTAAATTACATGAAATCTATCTTATCTTATTGACAATTAGGCCAAAACATGCATATTTAAAATATTTTAAATGCCTAACTGATAATGATGAAACACGTAATTAAAAAGAAGTCATATCAATACAGCATTGATTAAGTATTGTGCATTCTGACACAATTTGACACAGATATAGGACTTTGTATTCTGAATATATCATTATTATACACCTATTTACTGGCTATGAGGACAAAAGCAAGTTTATCAACTATTTCACGAGGAGCAGCCGAGGTAAATAATTGCTGTCTAGAGGGACAATAAACTTGCTATTGTCCGAATAGTCAGTTTATAGGCGTTTTATTATACTGACGCTGGTGGGGCTATGACTCTCATATTTCACAGATGTATTCCTTTTGATTAGACCTTTCTCTGGGTACCACCAAATTTGACCTCTTGACCTTGGAGTTTGACATACTTTTACACTCTTCCCATACTTTTACTTTGTCAATACGTTTTAAACAGTGGGTGCTATGATTTTTATACTTCTCATTTGTATTTTGTGTGACAAGACCTTTCATTGGAATCAAACAATTTTGATCATTTGACCTTGACCTACTTTTTAAAAAACTTTAACTTTGGTCATAGCTTTTTAACGGTAAGGGCTAGGGTTTCATACTTTACATATGAAATAATTGTGACAAGACCTTTCTTAGGGTACCAACAAAATTTGATCATGACCTCTTAGTGGTTGAACAAGACCTTAAACAGGTGATGCCAAGGCTTTGATATTTCACAATTGTATCTCTTGTGGAGAACACCTTACTTTGGGTACCAACATAGTTGATTTGGGATTTGAGAAAGTTTAACATTCGTCATGTTGCTATATGGGGGCATCAGTGTTTCACAAACACATCTTGTTTTGATTTGTTGAGTTTGGATGCAAAAACTTCATGATTTAGGATAATTCCTTTAACAGCCCGATTTACAAATAGCTTGCTTGATAGCTCAATTAACAATACTAATGTTATCTTGATTTAAATTCAGACACATGTGTAGGTTGACCCACTCAAAGATTATAGGGTAGAACCGTGTTTTAAAAATAAAATTGATAGTAAATAGAAAAGTGCTTTAGTTGATTTATTTTAACCAGAAGTCTCTGTTGAGACTGTAGCTATACTGGTTTGTACTTGACAAAGGAAGAAAAAAGTTGCACTTGGACTCGAAACTTGCAAAAGCAATAAATTGATAGTGATTCTTGATCAAGTCTCTTTTTGTGTCAATATTGCAATAAGACTACAACTGTAGGAGTAGCCTTTAAAAGAATTTTACAGAATTTTCAATTTCAGTTACTATGGTACATCATAAAAAACACGAAAGACAATTATGTATCTCAGTGTAGTTGACTTGCACGAAAAAAACTAGCTCCAAATATTTTTTATGCTAACCCTAATGTTATCAAATTTCATGACTTATTAAATTGTAAGGATACTACATGTAAAGTTATTTTGGGGCTTGCCAAATTTTGTAAAATTTTATTGCCAGTAATATTTTAATATTTATATCAAAACTACTATGTAACAAATGTTATAAATACATATAGTTTTATTTTGTATAAGGAGAGGCCTTCTATACTTTATTATTTGAACTAGACATGTGAATTGTAAATAACATTAGTGCCCCTCACTGTTTCATGCATTCTTGTTTATATGTAAAAATCTTGTATTATTTGTATTCATATACCCCAGTTGGGGTCTTTGTCTTAAATAAAAACTTGAAACTTTGCATGCCTTATATTATATTAAAATCAGTCCAAAACTGTTGGTACCTCACGCTAAACAGAAGCCAATAAATATAGTCCCAATTCTTATGGAAGTATATAGTTTAATGAATTCATAAGAGATTGAAGTGCATTTGTACAGATATTATAGGGTGGTTAAAACGCAACATAACTTTTCTATTTACCATGTCTTCAAGCGCTAGTTACTTCCTTGTCTTTCCATGATTTACCTTTCAGGTAAACATGAGTTGATTTCAATGTTGTATAAACACCCTATTACTAATGTGTTCGCATCCTACTCACTAATTACGGATACCAATGTTAAACAAGATGTGATTGTGAAACATTCCACTCCTCATTACTAGTAGCATAAGTTACAGTGAAGCACATTAAAGTGGTAAAATTCTTTTCGTTTGAATGGAACGTTAGGGTGTTTCTTATCGAACGTCAATTGATACGAGTTTTGTTCGAAAAGTTCGTGGACGATGTCTATCTTCGTTATACTACACAATTATGTGTAAAAATATTTGTTTTGTTATTATGTGAATTTCATTCTATTTGATTTAATTTGATGATTGTACGTTGTTTAACGTCCTCTTCGAAAATTTTTCACTCATACAGAGACGTCACCGCTTGCCGGTGGCGGGCTGCAAAGGATGTATATTCACTATGACAAAAGAATTGACCTATAGGAGAGAACAATTTCCCGGAAAAAGTGAGATTTCAAAATTAATCTTTATTTGTTGTTTTCTACCTTATATATGTCTTTTATATTTTAATTTTTACAACTTTACAATAAACCTCCAAAGCTGGCCGAAACACCATTTTGTTCGTTAAAGCGTTGATTTTTGCATGAATTTTGGCCTATAAGTCCTTCAGGGTATGCCTGCCCCTAAATAAAATTGTGATATTTTAATAGGTTGGGATGTAAAGAATAATTCAAGATAGGATTTTTTAGGGGCATCCCTACCCTAGGTTCGAAATTCACAAAAACCTACAAAAAAATAAGGAAACCCGATTTTGATAATTTGTCTCAAATTTATACCTTTCATTGTTATAGTCAGACTAGCTCAGTTGATATACATGTGCGCTGACGTTTTACACCATGGTTCGAATCCACCTGGTACCACACTTTAAAAGTTTTGAATTTCGCCTTTTCAACGTCAATTTTAATTTTTTTATAGACTTGTTTATTTTCCCTTCAATTATCTATCCTTTATGCATGCCCATTCTTGATATAAGTAAATATTTAAGAAATAAGGTATCATTTTTAAACATCTATCGGGATATAAATACGGGTCGGTCACGAGATTAAATTCCATAAAGCCCGAAGGGCTTTATGATGAATTTAATCTCGTACCAACCCGTATTTATAGCCCGATAGATGTTTTAAAATGATACCTTAATACTTATATTTACATTTGTGACTTATTCATACTTTATGTTTGCCTGATTGTGACTTTTAACGTGTGAAATGCATTATTTTTCAAACCCAACTGCATGTATATACTTAAGTAATCCACTGAACGCGCGTCGACCCTTTATGACGTCACTGAGAAATTACGTCGAACGTTTATCCATACGCACATCTATGACCTCTTGACCCCATACCTGTATTTATACAGTTATAGATACGCATTGCTTTTAGTAGTGTTATATAAAGGGAAACATTTGCAAATGTAAATAATATCCACGGATAAAAAGCCTAGACATAAAGAAAAGAATTTCAGAGACAGTAGACATTACCATTATACACAATAAGAAGTAATGTAGACAAATATCAATCATTACATTTGGAGATAACAAAATCCGAAAATCAATAAAAGGTTACTCCTACCTCTACTCACTGAAATAAAGATTTACGAAAAACAAATTATATGTACTCAGCCTAATGCCATTAATCGGAACGGAAATCGACAACCTTTTTGTAGAGAAAAAAACCAAGCCCGGTCCTATAGGTCAGATCCCTATTTATAATGAAGTGATCCTTTGTCCTATACTTGGCACTAAGGGCCATTGAGCAGGGATGAATCTTTTTCGTGCCAGGACCTGCGACACGGGACCTCAGTTTAAACGATCTCATCCGAAGGACCAGTTTCCACGTCTCACAGTGGGATTCGAACCCGCGACGTAAGGATCAACTCCTTATTTCACGACTCTCTAGCAGAAGCTCTAACCACTGCGCCACGCGGGCGACCAGAAGCAAATAGAAAGGGGGCTAATTGAAAGAGAAAATATTCAATCCTGAAAAAATATTGACACGGAAAAAGAGGGGGGGGGGGTGAGAATCGAACTTCTTTCAGTACCATATTTTTTGCTCACAACCTACGGCTAACCCTTCTTTGAAGCACTGAAACCTGGCCTGTTGAAATGGGGGTCCCACAGTGGGATTCGACCTTTTTGTGTAAGGAATAACTCACTCATTCGAGACTTTAAAGCAGACGCTCTAACCACTGTGCCACGCGGACGACATATTTGAACGTACCGTCAAGAATTAAAAAAAAAACTATCCCTGCATGAACATTTCACACATTATATTCAAATACCCACTCATCAAAAACCTTTTCAATCACTTGACATTTGTTTTTCTAACAATAAAAAATAATTTTATAATTACAAGGTTTTTTCCCATAGCATTTTTGCTTTCATACGTAGCACAGCAAATTTTTGTTTTTCCCTATCGTATTTTTAAAGCTCACAAATTAACCACAAAAACTTAAGTTTTATTGTTCGACATATTTTTTTGGAGAAATTAATCTTATTTATAAAAAATAAATAAAACTCATTTTCTCTCAAATGCATCTAGAGAAAAATCAAGGAAAACTCCTTTTGTATAGAAGAAACAGACTGATCAATGTATCAGATTACAACAAAAGAATTGAATTAAAATCAAATGCACTAATGTACAAAAAATATTTTGGAAAATCGTTGGTATTTATGACAATCAACGTTCTCAAAATAGCTCAAAACTTTCCATTCAAATGGAATTTTTGTCTCGTCTTTTCTAGGCACCGGAATGTCTACTGAAATAGAAGAATCTACGTCGCAAAGGGAGCATAATGTACAAATGATGAGGTACGTACCCGATATATTTAAATACTTTTACTTTTGAGTTTAAAGAATTTGTTCAATACATCTAGTTTGTAATTTTAAAAAATAATTATAGGCAATCGGAGCACGGACGAGTCAAAATACTCACCAAGGCGTTTGAGGACATCACCTTACAAAAGTAATTAAAAAGATCAAATGAGTCAATAAATACGGATATTTTTTTAAACAAATGACAAAATATTAAACATATTCTTACTTTACAGAATCCAGATACACCCTGACAAACGAAAGTCAGGTTATTTTTCTCGCGCCCAGGTACCAATCAAAAGCAGCACACAATCTCTGTAAGTTAATCCATGTACTGTATCTGATTCTTGTTCAATAAACAAAAAATAACATTTTGACTCATTTGCCAAATATAATCATCTTTTCAGAGATATCGATATTCCCAAACTACGCCAAACCTTTGGAACATTGATAGATTTGCTACAAAGACAAGAATTTGACAAAGATATGAAATCAGAATTAGAATGTATTTTCCCAAAGTATCTCCAGATGCTCGAGGAAAGAATTTGTGATCTGGACAGAGAAGACAATGGCATTTTGGTGGCAGGTTTGTATTATCGTGGACACTCTGCTATTAAAATTCTATACTTCTAATAAAAAGGAAGATGCACATTCTTAAAGCATTATTGCTATCACTGCTGTTTCACGTCTCGGTCGAAAAATTTTCACTCATATATATATATATATATATATATATATATATATATATATATATATATATATATATATATATATATATATATATGGCATCACCATCACCATATCATACCGGTATATATGGAACGCCATGGTTCTCTAATATATTATGCTGTGATTATTCTATATGAAGATGGTGCTTTATTATATTATGCTGTGGTTATTTTATACGATGATGGTGTTTATTATATTATGCTGTGGTTATTTTATATGATTATGGTGCTTTATTGTTGGAAAACCTTCCTTGTAGTTTTTCTTCTTATTACACAAGGAATCTTTTTTATTATCAAAGATTGTGTATATATTGATTGTATGCAGGAGAAACCAGTTCTGGAAAGTCCACGCTTATTAACTCCCTCATTGGAGAAAATATCATGAAGTCTAGAACCACAGAAAATACTTCAACCATTTGTAGGATCTGGAATTCAGAAAATATTGGCCTGAAAGTCTACAACGACAAAAATGAATGCATACATTCCAAATTAGATTACTCGAGAGACCAGCTGCCAGAATTCCGGAAAGAAGTTCAGAAATATACAGATGTGGGCAGCATGCCCGAAAACTGCTCATTTGTAGATATCTTGTATCCAGTTTCCTTACTAAAGGTTTGAACAAAATATTTAAGTATTTCAATACTTTTTATGATGTGTTCAATTCATTGAGAATTAAAGTGAGATTCAGATATAAGGATGTAAGTTGTTTAAGAGGAGTGTCCGCTGCTACGTAGAAATTAGATATTTTCAATAGCATATTTTCGCGAACTCTTCAAATAACATAGCTGCACATTGTAAAGAAATATCAACATATCCTTATAATTTAAACTTCTATGTCCCCAATAACCATGTAGTCTTGACTGAAGCCGCAAGAATTCCTTTGCCCCGAAAGCATTTTTTCAAATTGTCTAGATGGTCGAGCAATCTAACAGATTAAGAATTCAATCCTGGGTTTGGGCAGTTGTGGGTATCCCTGTGTTAAAAAAGTTTTTGTTCTATATCATATATGAAATTATGTAAAATCAAAATGTTTACTTACGAAATGGTTTTTTTTTGTAGGGGAAAACAATTTTAGTGGATACACCTGGAGTTGGAGGAAGTACGAGTCTTGCAGAGTTAGTGATGAAGTACTTACAGAACGCTGTGGCATTCATCTTCGTTGTAAATGCGTCCAATGCTGGTGGATTACAAGATGATAGGGTATGTTATGACGCTTTAATGGCATTGCTGATATCTGCTGTATTTGATATTTCAGTTACTACATCTCCATTTATCACCAATTTAAAAAAATGTAAGTATTCAAATAACATCCCGAAGAAATGATTGATTTAAACTATTGAACTTTTTTTCCTTTTCCCTTTATGATATACTAGTATATCAAGAGATATCAGATTCACTTGATTTAGAATAAAGCTCGGTTAAAAATGTATTTTAACCAAAACAGGGTACATGCAAAATAGAAAAAAAGACTGCTAAATAATCATAAACTATATTAACTCAAGTGAACAATTGCATCAAAATTCTTTTAAATAGCTTCCAATCATTTTGCGAGAAATTTTACGCTCTCACTCAGACCACAAAATGCCATGCTTTGACCCCAGTGACGTCATTTTTGTGACAAATAAATGGGACGTCATCTATTCTTCCTGTGAAGAGGACAGCGATGAAGACGACGTATCGCTCACTTGGGAAAAAGTCAAGGCATCAATCAAGAAGCACTGGGGATCGGTGAAAGATGACCAAATTTTTCAAATCTCCTTGAAGAAAGTTTGTATCTATAGATTACGTACCGTGTCATATACATGTATGATGGGAACAACGTTTAAGTAGTTTCAAAATGAAATATAGAGATAAAGAACAGTATTCAAGCTCAAAGTCCATTTAAACGATACAAATCGAGAGTGGAGCAAACACGGACCTCCTAAAACATCAGAGGTTGGATCAGGTGCTAAGGAGGAGAAAGCATTCCCTGTCGACTAGTTATACCCGTCGTGTGTTTTTTGTCTTGATCAAGAAAAGCACCAAAACCCGATTCAGTGTGTAAATAAAAAATAGTTCAATTGTGTGTAAATGATGGTCATATAATTAGTATGAAAAACGTCAGTCAGCATTTGACTGAATATAAGGTTGTATATGCTGAATAGGTTATTATATTGACCCTTTAACGTATGAAACATCATTGTTGATATCCTAGTTTCATCAACTTGTTTGTCAAAGCTTGCCTTGTTTAGAAATTACTAGTAGTCATATGTAAAGCATGCTCTTGCGTATCGAATTAACTGAGGAACATTAACTCTATTTGCATTTGATTAGGGTATACCGGTGTATGGCCAAATACATGTACTTAAGAGAAGGTGATAGTTGAAAGTTAATATCATTATGTTTATTACAAAGCTTTGTTTCTAAGTTACCATTAACGTCTTAATAAATTTTCTAAAATGGAGAAATCATCATTCATATTTTTTTTTTTTTTTTTTTTTTTTTTTTAAATTTATTTATATAAATATCATACAATACATTGTTTACAAAGAGTCTTTTACAGCATAAATAGTTTTAAATATAGAAAAAAACTCCAAATTAAAAAAAAAACCAAAAAACTATTAAATATTTTAAAACATGATAATCTTCTTGTACTTAATAAACTATTGTAAATTATGTAAATTACAGTTTTTTTAATGTTTAATTTCAATACTGAAAAACAATAAATGAAAGCAAACAATGGCCAAAAAAAAAAAAAAAAAAAATAAATAAATAAATACATCAAAGCATATTAAAGGCTGACATTTTCCATATGTTTCTGTAAATATTTGACATAATACCGCACAGTATTTAAGCTCAAAAGTCCATAAAATAATACATAATTGGATCAAATACAGACCTCCAAAAAAAAATCAGAGGTGGGATCAGGTGCCATGGAGGAGTGGGCATCCTCTGCCGATCGGTCACACCCAACGAGTGCTCCTTGTCATGTTCGGAAAAGAAATGGAAAAATCCATGGACAACTCAGTATGTAAATAATGGCCTAACAATCAGTATGGAAAATTTGACTTTTGTATCGACCATAGAACTTACGAAATCATAAGTTAAAACAAGTGCTGATATTCTTGATCATCAACTTGCCTTACCTTTTTAAAAAAATTGTTCGTAAGTAGGACATGCTCTTCAGTATAAAATTTACTGAGAGATATACACTCCGTTTGCAGGTGACAAAAGTATATTGCTGCATAAGTACTTAAGGGAAGTTTACGATTGAAAAGTTTAAGCCATCACGTTTTTTATAAAGCTTGGCTGTTAGGAAAAACCATTAACATCTTTTTCTATAGTAGAACATCCAAATATGAAACAGATGTGTTAGACTCTGTGTTATATTTTATTTCAAGCTCAACTGACAATACGTCGTCGATATATCTAAATGCTGAGTTGAAGGCCAAGCAAGTGTTTTCTTCTTTTCACGTAAAAGATTTTGAACAAATTCAGCTTCATATGAATAAAAAAAGGTCTGCTATAAACGGGGCGCAAATGGAACCTATAGAATTCTAATAGATTGTTGAAAGACCTAGTCTCCAAAAACCATATTGATAAAATCAAATAAAATTACGAATGTTATTACATGTAATGCCGACCATTTACCAAAAGAATGCTTTTTACTCTTCTATTTTTTCGTCTTTCTTTTCTTGATATCGTTGAACAAAACAGAAACCCTATATTTTTAAAGTATAAACACTGTTTCTTCTTAGATGAAAGAAGCCAACGACGAGCAATTCAAAGCAGAATATGGACGTTTTCAAGTAAAGTTGAAGGAAATTATCGACCGAAATCGTGTCAGTCGTAAACAGAAACATTTAAGGTATTTTTTTTTAAATCTTATTTTTAAAATATGCTTCGTGATCCACCCTTTTAATTAATTAACCTTCGTTAAAAATGATACTTGCTTTGATAGTGCTGATTTGCTATGCTTTAGAATTCCTCACTGTTGCTTCTTATATGTTTTGCTTTATTTTGCATTGGGGATTTTCTTCCACTCAGATTTTTGGATAATATTCTAAAAGTCTTGGAGAGAGCAACGTGTCGAAGAATATTATCATCCAAATTGTCAGAAGACGATCATAAAAAGCTAGCAGAGAAAAATATTAAAACAATAGAGGAATTTGAAAAGAAAAAAGAAGAGGTGACCTTTTTTATTCTCTATGTATGCACAAAAATAAATTGAATTGCTGTTAAAAGGACTAGAAATCATCCACATTTATTAACGTAAAATTCAACTTATGGTGTTTTTCAGAACTTAGTTTCATCCACGACAGATCAAAAAGTTTCTAATTTTCCTCATAGAGGATTGATATAAACTTTGATCTTAGCTTAGTTTGATAAGCTTAAGCTTATGTAGATGTAAAATTGGACTCTCACTATAGAAATGTTCATACGTTTTTTTCCAGATCAATAAAGACCTTCGCTCGCAGTTAGATTCCTCAATCTGCACCCTTAGCAGTGATCTAATGGAGTATGTTTGCTCAGTTAAAGGAAAAATCGAAATCTTAACCCCATCTGGCAAAAAAGACATAAAGGAAGTAAGCGTTTTTGCATTAGAAAGAAAAGTGAAGGAAAGATACGTCACTTTTTTGGAGAATTGGCGTCGGAGTCCCAAAGTTATTGGTGTATTTGAAGATTTAGAGCAACAAATCAAAGGATCTTTTAGTACATTGAAAGGAAAAATTGAGGAACTTGAAAAAGAGTTCTTGGGTGCCCCAAATTCTTCACGAAACAAAGATATTACTACAACACCCGGTTGGTTCCCGGTTCTAGACATAGCTGGGACCCTGTCTACAATTGCCGGAGTAGTACTTTCTTCACTTTTTTCTGCGGACTTTCAGGAAGAAAAGAAATTAACGGTCATTGACAAAATTTACGAAAAATGTGTCTGGATTTATGATAAGGAGGCCGTAAAGAACGATTTGGAGAATATATATGGAAACCATTACAGAAATGTAATTGAGTGGATGCTCAATGTGTCAATTGGAGATGACATCAGAAGTTTGAGGAAAACAATTACACAAGTATATGAAAAACGAACTGAGTACAAAACCAAGCATGAAAATTACAAAATTTTTAACGAAGCCCTAAATGAACTAAAACGGCAAATGGAAGAGACAAATGGTAATATTTTAATTTATTCAATGCTCTTTTTTTGCAGATGGAGTGTGCTATTCTTTACATTTAATATACTATTTTACTGAGGATTTTTTTGTCTTTATGTCAGAAAAATATATTTGTATGTAATACCAATCTTTATTATGAAATCACTCGATAATTGAGGTGATGCTTGTCTGAATACACCATGGACAAGAACAATAATTCTGTATATCAAATTTAAATTTCCTAGAACTGTTTGAAATATTTATTTAAGTTTACTTATTGTAAAAGTACGCAGGAAAATAGGGATTTTAAGACTGTGATTTGCTTTAAAATTAAAAAAAACACTTCTTTTATGAATACTAAGCCACTTTTTGAAACGAGTTACATTAATTATTATATCTTTTTATGTGTAATGTTTCTAAAAATGTGAAGAAGGGGGTGGGTTTGGGTGAAAAATTACATTAATTATACAATACACATGAAAATTTACAATGCAAATGGAAAATTATAGAATACAAATAAAAATTATACAATACAAATGGAAAAGATATTGTTACGATTGACATGGAACAGTGCTTGTTATTTTTCTTTTAAATGTATCAAAACTTAATCATCTTATGACATTTTTGGACGAAACTGGATGAAGACATAAATAAATTAATAAAACAGACTATATTTAATGTGAACCACATTCAATTTTTCAATGTGATGGGAGCTAAATTATTTCAAAAATACATTTCTCTTATTATATATGTTTAACCAATGATATTTTTCTTATTATATATGTTTAACCAATGATATAAACTGGGAGCTTAATTACATATAATTATCAAAATAGAATTTAAAATCTTCTATGATTCCATGCACCCACCCCCACCCAGTAGTTGCAGTGACTAAGATATTATTAAACAATACAAATTCAAGTTGATTAATAAAGTAATTATTTTTTGTTTCAGATGATATTGCTCAAATTCTTGAAACAACTCATCTTTAAGAAGTTCATGACTTAATAGAATGCAAGTTCTGATGTAAATACTTGTTCAAATAGTAAATTGTAGAGATAATTGATTAAAAAATAATTTAGTCATGCTTTTCTTTGTGATTTCCATATGATAAATCTCAAATCAACGTTTCTATTAAGTTTATTAAGGTGTAATATCCCTCTGATAAGAGAGATAACTTTCTGAAGACATTTTCCCATGAAATTCAATGAATTGTCAAATCAGATTTTATAGATTTCATTCATAAGGACCACTTTTTAGTTAACTCAATTGAATCTGTTCTATCGTTCAAATGTTGAGTTTTAGTTTCTATTGCCAATATTTACATTAATAATGTACAATAGTTTTCCGAGAACATTTATACTCAGTTTATACTCAGTTTCTTTAAACGGTGTAAATTGAGATATTTGTGTATCTTTTAACGTAATAGTCATATAATTGGTACAGGAATTTCAGATGCAGAATGAAACAATGTACGATTTACTGATTGCCGTATTTAAGAGCAATTCTCTGTAATGATTTGAAATTTTATATAGGAGCTGTGGCACGCATAGTCTCAGAATTTCTCCAAACTCTCTATGATAAGTCATTGATACCCTAAACTGAAATCAGGCAAAAATTGGTTGCTATGTTTTATAGTTACCATGACAACATGTCTTAAAGTTTGAAAAATGGCATTTTTTAACATGTTTAGAGCCCTATAGTTAACATTTGCGGCAAAGCAAACAATTGGCAATGACTGTTTCCAAAAGTTGAAGGTCAGATGTCTCAAATGCATGATAAACATGTTTGGTAAATCAATTTTTACATACTTTACTATGGTAACAAAGTATTCAAAAATAAAAAAAAATTATCATTGAATTTAATAGCCATACACGTAAAAATAAAAAGTGACCAAATAATAGAAAAAAAGAGCCTTGAAACATGTACCAAGAACAAAACATGATATTTCATTTTGGTTGGCAATGGTTGCCAAGGTTTTTATACCACAGAGAGCCTTCAAAGTAACACTCTGTATGTTTAAATCTGATCCTATCTTTTAAAAAAGCACATTTCCTCATAACTAATGATCAATTCTTAAAGATGTCGGTGTGCTCCTAGTTTTCCCATTTAAAAAATTCAGATTAGATTCTTTAAATAGAGCGTTGCTATGAAAATAAGCACAAAATGTATGCTTAAAAACCTGAAAAATATTTTCTTTCCTTGGATACGTACCCTCAAATTTAGATTCCCAAAACTTTTATGATTTATATTTATTAACAGCTAACCTGACTTTTAATTTTGACTATCATCCAATCTCTAAGTGGATGCAAGAAGTTGGCACACAGGGTTTAATATTGATATAAAGTTCACTATATCGAACATTTTCCCTTCTTGGTAACCATAGCAACAGTGTTGTTTTCTTCATCAAATTTTATGATATTCAACTTCAGTTCTAACAGATAAGTACTATTCAAGCTGAGTCCTTTAATTTGTTTCTTGATTATATGGCAATTTAATTTTTAATGCAGCGAAAAATAATTCACTTTTAAGCACTGGTACTTTGTTTCCATGGTAACACTACAAAGTAGCAATTATACCCAATTTTTCTTATGGTTTTGGTGTTGCAAGGTCCTAAGGATGCATATTTGCCAGTCTTGAATTTTCATGTTTTTCCTCAAGACAGTAGCATTAACCCAATCTTAGTTACTGGTTTTGCTTGGTTACACTGTGTTACCATGACAACCATAAAAGTTATTTATAGAAAAATATTGCTTATACTTAGATACTTAAGGTCAAACATTTTAATTGTTTTTCTTAAGTCGTTGATTAAGTTTGAGCATGTAACACCTACCATTAGTGAATACGGAGTGTTTTTCAGCATATTTCAGCATTTTAAATGTATTCCAAATGTACCCTTGGTTACCACTTACTTAGAGAAATATTCTAAACAGTTTCTTCACAGTATAAGTGACATCAAGGTGTCATGTTTTTGTGAGAATGGTTTGTTTGCTTTTTCTAGTTTTTATTAAGCCACAGTCAAGATTTAAAGTGGCTGAAAATCTCGATTTTTCAAACTTTTCCGGCTGTTGCCAAAGCAACCGAGACACTTAGCAACGAAATTTTGTTTGATATTTGTTTCTGGTGTCAAGTACTAAGCATAAGCATGAAGTTTCATCAAAATCGGTGACCATGTTAATTTTCTTGTATTTGACTAATATGCAAATATGCATAAATGTCAAGGGAACTTTGAAGAAAGGAAAGTATACAGAGCTTATATTCCGTATTCACTTAACTCTCAGTCAATGTGAGACATTTTTTTATCCAAAAAAACAAAACAAAACAAAACAAAACAAAAACATCAAAGATGAATTCAAAATTGTCGATATGTCATTGAAAGTGTTTTTTATAAGTTTTTTTTTGTTCATACCCTACAAAAGAGTATGTTGAAGTGTTCCGATCATGCAATTGCTAGAAAGATTTTTATACATGACCCCAGCTCTGATGTTTAAGAGGCCTATGTTTGCTCCGATACAAAGTCATTAATAATAACACTTTCCGTGATACATGTATATCTAGAATTTTAATTTTACTGAGTTTTGGAAAAAAATATCTATCAATAAATAGGATCTAGAAAATATGGAAGATGACTGAGTTTCACTAACTTTCTTCACACGAGGGTTGATCCAAAAGTAAGGCCACAACTTCGATAAAAATGCTACTAGTCGACGTAAATTAACGAAATTATACATGATCGAAGCTACATATTTTACAAATCAGTCCTGAAAAATTCAATGTAAAATAATGTTTACTTTTCAAAATATCGAATTAGATACAAAGTGCAATAATAGTAGTCGCCGCACCAAAATAACATCATAATTATGATGGATACGCGGCGTCATACACTTAAACGCTTCCCCTTCGTTTCATTAAAAATATTTGAGATTCACGAACACATTCACATATATTTCTATTTTAAAAAGAATTATTGGCACCCATTGTTAACTCAGTCTATACATAATTTAGTTATCTGTCAAAATTCTTTGAACAGTACCGGAAGAAAAACTTAAAGTTTCTCATATCGCTCTAACAGTCTAATCGTCTCTCTTTTTGGACAATGTCATAAAATTTGCCTTTAAAAATATTGGAAGATTGTTTGTCTTTTTTTCATTCTAACAATTTACAATTTAAAACGTGATGTTTAGTCGTGACGCGGCGACACCCCTTATGTTTTATATTTTAAACGTCTATAAAATTAATTCAAGTAAACATTATAAAATGAAATTTTCAATTTTGATTAGAATTATTTTTACGCATCTCTTGGTATATAATATTTGATAATATGACGCCAAATATTAAAGATATTGACACAGTGACATTACTTTTGGATGAATCCTTGTAGTTTTTTTACGTCTCGCTTATTTGCAGCAGCGTTGTCAGGCACAACAAATTAAACGCGATCGCGATGATCGTTTTTTAACTTCCCTCACACAGAAAAGCTGCTGAACTTTCAATTATAAAAACTACTATTGGTGATCTTCATTTTATGGTTCATTTAATTTTGAAGCTTTGAACTAAAGAAAAAAAACCCTGTATTTGACATATTTTGAGCTCTCACTTTTCTCTGCAAGTATTTTCTCTCCTGTTCCACTTTTAATGATTGCTCTTTCTTTAATGCAATTAAAAGCGCACCAATGTTTTGACACCCATCACACAAGCTTTCCATACCTCCTTTTAAGGTCTTCCGTTTCCAACGGAAGACCTTCTACTGATTATACAGGGGTAAAAAAATAGAACGCCTAAAAGAGCGAAAAGAACTTTATTCGGTTATAACCAATATTTGCCCCCAAAATCAAACTTTGATGGAGATATATTTAATTAAGTTCTTAAACAGGGGAGTATATGCTGACTTAAGCGCACTGAATATTTTCATAAGTAATGACGCCATATGTACGTAATGACGTCATAAACATGACGTAAATTTCAGTTTTTTATGAATTTTACAGAAAAATGTACATATTTCGTCGATATTTTGAGTAAAAGTCACCGAGCGCATGTGTGTTCAGGATCAATATTTTGATGTAATGTGTAGAATGATAATATCAATGAAATATGACAATATTGTTCCTTAACACTCTTGCGCTCTATAAATTTTTAAGCTAAAATTGTTGAAATTTTGTCCATTTTGTCCTCTTTCTGAAAAAGGATATAAAATCAGACTAGTTTGTGACGTCATAAAAACAAAAATTGTGAATACAGTGCTTTGACACTATAATATTTTCTGTTAATTTATATTTTTCATACAATTTATTGAATTCAGCACATTTCAGGAAGTTTTCAAAATTTGACTTTTGTGGGGCAAATATATGCAATATACCGCATCAGGCTTGGGGTCAGTTACTTTGAAATGTAATTAATTACTTACAAATACATTGATAATTTTGTCAATTACTTGCAATTACATTTACATAGATTTTTTCAAATGTAATTAATTACTTTCAACTACTTCGACAAATGTAATTAAATACATTTCAATTACTTCGAGTTTTATCTTTATTAAAAAAAAAAAAAGATTTTTTGTAAATAAGATTTTTTCTATAGCAATTGAATTCGAACTTTCATTCACTGTTTTTGTTCTTGGGTATGATAGGGGTTCACACCTGGTCAAAATTAGACCTTTACCTTATAATGAGTGTGACACACTGTATAAACAAATAAAACATTATGAGACAATTAATTATTGTACAAACACAAGCCCATGCTACACTAGTATGGTGTATGGCAAGATCTTTTTTGTTACTCTCTCAAATCCATATTTTTGAAGGAAATAAATAATATCTATCACAATTCCATTCATTATTTTCTATCTTAAAATGAATAGAATACAGGTAAATCTAAAAGGGGATGTAGTTAGTGTAATTGCTGTAAAACAAATTAACTATCTAAACAATCATTGTTATTTGCAAGTGGGAATAGGGAGAACTGAGATTTATAAAACACGGGAATAAGTATTAAACCCACCCGTATAAAACTATGTATCAGTATAAGACACCTTTTTAATTATAAACTTTCA